ATGGATAATGAAATATTATTGATAACAGCATGAGGATTAATGAAAAGAACATAATTATTTAGATAAGAAAAAATAAATTCATTTTTTTAAATAAAAGAACAAAAAGCATGGTAAGAAACTATATTGATAAAAATTAAATTAATTTGATGACTGATTTATTTTCATTTAATTATATATACATAATAAGTTATCAACATAATTTATATATTAGATTAAAAATAAATTAGTGTTTTAAAACTTAAAATACTTATATAATAATTAATTTAAAATTATAAAAAATAAAATTGGTAAAATTTAAATTTTAAAGGATCAAAATTGATAGTTGAAACAAAACTTGAAAGTCTATAAAAGTTTTGTTATCTCATTAACTATATAGTTAAAATTTGATTTAAATAGTTCAGGTTTTAATGGAGGCGTAGTAGAGATAAACCAAGTCCATTTTTGTGAAGTACAAGTTGATGAGTTGAAAGCCGTAAAATTTGACTTGATCCTAACAAGTCAAATCAAGGGTTGGCGCGCCTTCTTTAACAAGATGCCATTTCTTGGAAAATCAGCCTCCAACTAGCTACGTCACCTCACGAATCCTGCATGTATAAATACTCAATATTTACAATAATATTTTACACATAAATCGTTTTTTTAAAATTTTGCTTAAAATATAAGATATTAAAACAGTATTATATATTTCTTTAATTATATTCTTATTTTATTAAGTAATTAATAAAAATATTTTAAATAAATTAAATGTTATATTTATTATACTTGAAAATAAGATTGGAAAGATGAAAAGATTTTCTAAAAATAAAACATTTAATCAATTTCTTTAAAAAAAATATAAATTACTTAATAATAATTTACATTGTGATTCAATAGGACAATAACTAATAAGTTTGCAAGTACTGCCGGTGAAAACGATGGATCGCGTGCTCTGAACTCTGCTTCCGTCGTTTACGAAATATTATAATTATATAACAGATTTTTCTTTCAATTCTCAAGGCCAATATGTATTATATATATGTGTGTGTAATATATGCCCACCTTACAAATGTCAAATGAGACGGGCTCGAAAGAAAGTTTCATTTCAGTTTAATTTGTTTTATGTAGGAGAGATATCAATGAAAAAAAATCAATCAAGAATCATTGTAAAAAATTTACAGCATTTAAAGATCATTAGATAGATTCTGAATTTTTGGTATGGTCCATTAATCCTCAGATAAAATTAATTTTTAAGTCAAATGATTAAATTCTTCAAAAATTTAAAATAATAATAATAGTAAAATCAACCTCACTGTCATTAGCGTCGGCCAACAAATCACAGGAGATCTTGTCCCTAGCAAGGTTGATGGAGCCCTAGTCAATCACTGATATTTCAATGCTAGTTGGACTTTTATTGGAGGATAATTTTAAATGTGGTTAAGGGAGGTATGATCTCATGATCCCTTGACTACCTACAAAACTTAGTACCCACCAAGCTCATTTAATTATATATGATAAATAAATAAATAAATAAATAAATATATATATATATATATATATATAGTAACTCAAACTTTTAAATTACTTTCATGTTATAACATAATCATGTGTTATTAATTTCAGAATGACACTTGTTATTTTACTAATATTACTTATTAATTTGATATGATCGACTACAAATTGAGAGCTTTAAAACTTCATGCATTTTACTTGTTAAAGTTCAAATGTATTATTGTTAATTAAGAATGGGTTATTGTTAAAATATGAATGAATACTTATTAATGAAAGACTAACACTTATACAATTAAGTTTATCGTATATGTTTTTTCCAATTTGCTAAAATCTAAATAGATTGTTCTTAATTTCAAATTTGTTATTGTTAAAACCTGAATAAATTCTTGTTGATAAAAGACTAATACTTGTTCAATTAAGTCAATCCTATCTATTTTTCTAACTTGTTAAAGTCTAAATGGATTGTTATTAATTTCAAATGAGTTGTTATCAAAACCTAAATGAATACTCATTGTTGATAATTTTTGCACAAGTCTAATGAAATAAAATGTATAAACAGCAAGTATTTATTTGGGTTTTCACAATAACGCATTTAAAATTAACAACAATCAATTCAAGTTTTAACAAGTTAGAAAAATGAATAGGATGTGTTTAATTGTACAAGTGTTAACCTTTCATTAACAAGTATTCAGTTGAGTTTTAACAACAATATATTTGAAATTAACAACAATTAATTAAAGATTTAATAAGTTAGAAAAATTGATAAGATGTGCTTAATTGTACAAGTTTTTATCTTCTATCAATAAGTATCTATTTGGTTTATAATAATAACTCACTCGAAATTAAAAACAATTCATTCAAGCTTTACTAAGTTAGAAAAACATATAGGATATGTTTAATTGTATAAATGTTAGTCCTTTATCAATAATTATCCATTCGGATTTTGAAAACAACCTATTCTTATTTAACAACAATACATTTAGACTTTAACAAATAAAATGCATGAAGTTTTAAAGTTCTCAATTTATAATTGATCATGTTAGATTAACATGTATTATTAGTACAATAACAAGTTGTTTTGGAATTAACAACATGCCATTATGTTATAATATAAAAGTGATGTAAAAGTTTGGGTTACCCCTTCCAACACAATGCTATATATAATTAAATGACCTTGGTCAAGCTTTTTAGGTGGTCAAGGAATCATAGGATTAAACTCCCTTAACCACCTTTACTAATTATCTTGCAATAAAAGTGTCATCGATGCGTAAGGGTCTCTAGTGATGACCTAGTGACTGGTGTCAGTTGTAACATACTAAAAATTAATCTCTTGATTAATTAAGCTAATGAAGCGTAAATTTATAAATTTAAATATAAATGAGTTTGAAGATAGTTAGAAATGGCTAATGGACCTATTGGGTTTAGTTTTAGTCATTAAATTGGGTTCAAAAATGAATTGGGCCATCTAAGCTCAAATTGAAGAGAGAAAATTAAAATTTAGTCAACCGTGCATAACAACATAATGCATTTATATTACAGCATAATGTAATGAATCTAACTTAAAAAAGGCATATATGAGTGCCAAAAATAGAGAAAAAAGAGGAAAATGAAGGGGCTCGTGATCTTCTCTACTAGGCCATGATTTTATTGGTGCTTTGGGAAGATATAGAGTTTCTAACCAATATTTTTAAAACCGAACCGGATATTGAACCGGAGAGGCCAACGGTCCGTGGTTCGCATGGTCCAACCGGTGACGTCATAATTAAATTTAAAAATTATATATCTATATAATAATATAAACAAAACATCAAATAATTAAAATATCAAGATAAATAGTCAACTTCAAGTTCAACTTCAACATATGACAAAATAACAACTAACAACGCAATACAACACAACACACCAACAATTTAAACAAGCATAACATCATATTTATCTATTCATGACTTGTTAAAGATTGGTGGATCCTGATTAAGCCAAGCATGAGTTTCTCGCAAATTATCATCACTATAAGTTTCAACATCTTCTTGGGCAAAAGATCTCAAATCAAGTCTTTCCATGATTAAACATCCACCCCCAGGTGGAACCTCATTGCCTCCTCCTTCATTATTACCTTTATTAAATAATGTAACAAATCAAATATTAAAATTAATAAGTAACACATATTATAAGAAAAAAAATGACTAAATACTAGAAAATATCAAAGATCAAACCTTCATCTTGATTGATAGAAACTTGTGGAATTATTGTATCATCATAAAGCATAGCTTCTTCTATCTCATTATAATTAAGGGTGGAGAATCTTGATCTTCCATGATCCAATACTCAATGTCACCAATACTTTCATAATCAATAGGATCAAAAGATCTTTTCTTGTTATAAACTCTAAAACACATAACCAAAGTATTAAAATTTTAGAAATTAACTTATAATTAAACTCATGTTAAACAAAGTTTAGCTATAATTAAATAATATACCTATTTCTCAAACGAAGGTTGTAATGAATAAATACAAGATCATTTAACCTTTTATGCTCCAGCCTATTCTTTTTTTAGAGTGTATTCTTTCAAAAACACTCCAATTTCTTTCACAACCAGATAAAGATGAAGTTTGGCTTAAGAGTCTCATTGCCAATTTTTTAACATTTGGTGCACTATCACCAAACATTTTTCACCATTCATCTGCAAAATTTAGCATCAAAGATAAACATAAGTAAGAACTATAAAAACTAAAAAGTATTAAAGTTAAATGAAAAAAGCATTAAAATTTACTTGGCCGCAATGAGTTTATAGATGAAATGGCCAAGGAACGACAGAAGCTATCTACTCTATCTTGATACAACAAATTTTCTTGCACAAACTTAATTTTGTTAGAAGTGATTGTCTTATCCAAAACATCAAGAAATCCAGCCATAACCTCTGGCTTTTTACAGAAGCTTTGCTTATCATAAAAGAACACAGGATTTAGGAAATAAGCTGCTGCATGAAGCTTCTGATGAAGTTGAAAATCCCACCTTTTCTTGATAATCCTTGTGTAAGGCTTATACAAGGGCTTTTTATTCATTAATATATTCTTGATAGTTTTTCTTCCCCTGTACATGCCATCATATACATACCCAAGTGAAGGCCTCTCATTAGCATCAACAATCCTCAACAACCGAATAAGTAGTGAAACAATTTGGACTACAATTTTACAATCATTCCAAAATTGATTGTCCAGCACTATTAAAGTCACATCCTTTACCTTTTTTCCTTTTGAGTATCTAGAATCTAAAAATCCTTTGCTAGTTACCAAGGCTTGCAAATCATGTTTATGCTCATAAATACTTTTCAATGCAATAAAAGTGGTAGCAAATCGTGTCACCCTAGGGCGAATAATTTCAGTCCAACCTTCTCTTTTTCTCAGCCAAGCAAGCAAAAAAGCATGATTATAAACAAACTTTGTCACCATAGATGCACATGTTGCCAAGCCAATCACAATATCCATTTTACCGATATCTCCTAAAATCAAGTTCAAACAATGTGCAGCACAAGGAGACCAAAAATAGAAGGAAATTTATCACATAATAACCGTCCAGCAGCTTTATAATTAGCTGCATTATCAGTTACCAAGTGCACAACATTTGTGACTCTAACAAAGTCAACCATTTCAGTGAACAAGTTGCACAAATTTTGGGCACCCTTGACTATGTCTGATGCATTAACAGATTTAATAAAAACAATTCCCCTAGGAGAATAGACAAGAAAGTTAATCAATTGCCTATTTGCTTGATCTTGCCAACCATCGGCCATGATTGTACAACCAGTATCATCCCAAAAGTTTCTAAAACTATCAACCATTAACTGAACTTCCTTTTTAATATCAAGCAGTAATTTAGTTCTCATGGCATGATAACTTGGCCCTTTATAATTAGGGCCAATAGTTGTAAACGCATCAATCATAAGTTGAAAGAATACTAATTGACAACATTCAATGGGATACAACAATCATACATCCACTTAGCAAAAGCCATGTCTGCTCTACGTATAGGTTCTTTACCTGCAAGCACACTTCGTATCCCTGGCTGTGCTCCTGGGGTTGTTCTTGGTGCAAAATATTTGTCAATAGGAGCCTTTCTTTTTGCAAGTTGAGTTTGACTTTGTGATTGAATTTCCTTGAGGGTTTGAGATTGAGGAGTAGAAATTTCTTCTGAATTTTCATCATGACTTTCTAATGGTGTGACATTAGGGCTATATGGATTGTCCTCTTTATAACTATCTTGCTTTTTGCCTTTATTCTCCCTAATCTCCTTTAAATTTTCTTTGAGTTGGTAGCGAACATCAGCAGGCGCCTTTTTACAACTTATTGCATCCCCTTTCTTTCCAACAAGATGTTGTTTCATTCTATGAATCCCTCCACCAGCAAATTCTTTTGCACAGTACAAACATTTTAGGCGAACTTTGCCATCTGGGAGCTTGACCTCAGCACAATGCTCCCATGTAGGATCTGTCTTTGATCTAACAGATTGTGTTGATGCAGTAGTTGAAGCATTTTTAGATGTCATTTTCTACAAGGTAAATTTTAGATTTGTCATTAAAAGACCTAATCAATATATAAAGTATAAATAAAGAAGAGTAAACAAATCAGATTAAGTATTCCATTCCAGTGGTAATTGGCTATCAAGTATCAATTAATTGATGCATTATCAATGAATGCTTATAGGCAGCTTAAAATCCATTACACAATCATTATATGCAGGCATATATAGTATTTAATCAAATCAGGTCTTCAATAGATAAGGAATTTGAACTTCTAAGGAATTGAAAATTTAAAATACATAAACATTGAAACTTACCTAGACTATTAGACTATAAAGCAGAGCCAGACCAGGAAGAGGATAGCTCGGTGAGGATGAGGAAGAGGAGGAAAAGATCACTCGTGGGCTGTGGCTGCTCTTATTGATGCTAATCGATAAGGGAAGATGAAAGAAATCTGAAATCAATGAAGTCACAGCTCTGGCAAAAAAAAATTCAGTAAAGTCATAGTGGCAGAAGAGCTAGAAATTAAAGCTGAAGCTTGAAAGACAAAATCAAAGCTCAAAGAGACAAAGAAAATGCACAAAGCTAAAAACAGAAAGCCACCGCCGCACTACTAAAGTCAGAGAGCATGGGAGGAGAAGAGTAAAATCTGAAGCTTGAAATCACAGTGGGAAGCTTGAAATCGAAGCTCAAAGAAAAAGTGTGATGCTTGGAAATGGAATCGAAGAATCGCAGCTCAAACTAGATGCGCCGACCATGACTTCACAGCTCTAAACTGAAACCGTGAAACCGAGAAATGAAATAGGAAGCCAAACCAGATGCGCTGACTATGAAAGTGATCTGAAAGTCTGAACAAGAACCCAGAAAATCGACGCCGAACTGTAACTTTGTAGCTCAAAGAGATGAGAGATCTGAAACCGTGACTGCCCTGCGAGCTGAGAGCTGAGTGTGTGTGCGACTGTGCGGTGTGCCTCTACGTTTGTGACTCTGCAGTTTGCTTTTCAGCAATGATTTTAGGGTCAAAATTTAAATTTCAAAATATATGGGGCAAAAAAAATGAACCGTCCAGTTTTTAAAAATCGGACCCGGTTTGCAGCCTAACTGACAGTTTTGGCTAGCTCAACCTGGCTCAACGTCTCACACAGTTTTTTCCTTCTGGCCGAGCCAAAATGTGGATCGGCAGACGGTCGGACCGTTCCGACCATCCGGTCTGATTCGGCTTTGAAATCATTGTTTCTAACTACTAAGATAAGCCTCCCCTACCATTTTTCTTCCTCTCTAGACCATTTTTAAGTTAAAGTTTGTAGTTAGAAGATGAATTTTGGACCTTAAGAGCTTTGGGTCCAAGTTAATTAATTTAAATAAAGTTAAGGAGAGTTATTTGAGCTATCTTAGCCTAGATATAGTAGTTTTATGCATCCATAAGAGTTAGCTCTCAATTATGGATGAAATTATACCCTAAAATGTCATAAATAGTGGAGCTTGAGGTATGTGGCTACCATTAATGTTGATTAAAGATTTTGTTAGTGTTAGTTGAATCTAATGAAAGTTATTAAACCTAATATGATGATTAAACTCAATAGTTGTGAGCTTTGAGTTATTAAAGTATTGAAATTTGAGAGATCGAAATTAGTAAATTGTGACATTGATAATGATTTTAGATTGTTAGATGATGTATTAGTGATTATTTAAGTTATGGAGAACTGAAGTTAATGGGAGTTAAGAAACTTATTAGATGTGAGGTTGATCTTGTAGTTGAGAAATTTAATTATTAAAGTATAAAATTAGATATTGGAAGTGGTAATTTTAATGATTATTAGTGATAGGTATTAATGTAATAGTAAACTAACCTCACAAAGAACCAATGAGCTTGAATTTATCTCAAAAAGTAAGTTAAAATTGAGGAGTAACCTTTGACCTTTCAAAGGTTTGAGGTAATTGGAGAAAACCTTATTTATATAGTTGTATGTTAATTAAATAGTGGTTGAAATTTATGATTTAAAACTTGTTTGACATGTAGAAAGTTATTGATACAATTTTGACAAATGTGTGATATTATACATGAAATGACTTTTGAAAAATGAAGAGTTCTATACATGATGCCATTTGAATGTAATATTGCAAAAATATAACATATGTGATATATATATATATATATATATATTAGTTATAGGGTTTACTAGGAGTAAGAAATTGATGTGGACATGACATAGGATTGTGATTTTGGTCACATTTGCATACTATGTGTAACTTATGCATAGCATGATCATTGGCCGAAGTTTACTTAAGGAGAAGAGTCGATTGATAAATCCACATGGTATTGGCAGTGACTGTTAGAATTGAGAGCTTGCCTTGGCACCGACCATTAAAATTGAGAGGTAGCCCTTATCCCATAGTTGATTAAGGATTTTCTCACTTGTTCTATAAGGGACTTGAACCTAACTAATCTCCACTGGTTCATAAAAAGGCTAGATTAAAAGTACGACACTTTATGGTTGTTAGTATTAGGGGATACCGAATTACACAAGTGAGTGAGTTGACCCTAGCTTGGTAACTTCTCACAAGTGAAAGGCTGGGTTAGTCCATAAAGGGTGTAACCACCGAATAGCCACTGGTTTCATGTCAGAGGTAATCAAAAGGGTATAAGGTTGGCATATGATCATACTTTTGTCATAGCCACATGGTTATTAGTATTGTGGTCTAGTGCGGTTAGGGGTGCATGGTTGGGATTATTGCGACCCCAAGTTATGCATTATATATATATGTGTGTGTGTGTATATATATATATATATGATTATGTATTTGAAAGCCAATCACATAGTTGTTATTATTGTGGCCAAGACTATACGTTGTCATGCATACTTTATATGTGTGTTTATTGCCAATTGCATCTGTTTTTAATTGATATGCAACTATATAAATTAGGTGAAACTTGATTATTGAGTGGTTTTACTCATCTCTCTATTTAATATTTTACAGGTATTAGTTTCAAGCAGGATAAAGAAAAAGCACCAGAGGCTTGGAAACTTACTTTCCTACTATAGGCCTCTTGTAATTTTAGTTGTATATGTGTAATTAATTGATATTGCCAACTAGGATAATCATATTTTTGTTATTGCTTGTAGTATTAAATATTGAATATCAAAAGGTATATTTTGGGCCTGGTGCATATGATATCTTTTTAGTAGAAATATATGAGCAAAGTTAAAATACTAGTACAAGTATGAATTTGACTATATGCATGGTTGTATTAGATTATATTGAGTTTTGAAGTTAAATTACCTCCCCTGTTATTTCTTAAATCAAGGGGTTGAGGGTTAAAATTATGAAATATGTGATATATGGTTGTTGTGGTATGTTATATATGTTGTTTTTTAACTCTATTGAGTATGGTCGAAGGGTTGGCGTGGGCTTTTGGCATTTGGATAGAGTTTTGGATATCCTAGTTGTGTTTTAAAAGCATAAATGAATAGGTTTGCATTTTGGTATTTAATTTTTAATTAAGAAATGATTTGAATGTAAAACTAGTGCTATTAGCTAAAGCTCAGAAAAATCTTTTTATAGATACCAAGATCACTTCAATCGGATGTCGAACGGAGACTTGGCGCTTGTTGGAAGTTTGGCCAGAAAATCTGTCATGACAACTTGTTGCTATCACAGATTCTACTATTTACACTATAGTATAAAATTTTATGCTGCAGTGTAATTATGTCAAAATTAGTTTTTTTGCTATTTTAACCCTAGTTTATTTTATCTTGCTTTATATGATAGCCATGCTCCCGTATGCGTGTTTTACTTTGATTTTATTTCTTTAAAATGATTTTATAGCATTTTAAATTTTAAAAACTTGGGATCCCATTTATAAAAATTTTATTAACTTAAATAATTCATTTGGATAATTTTCATAATTACCTTGATTTTGTGAAGTTAATTGTGGATAAGCATGGTGACCTTACATCAGTAGCAGTCGAGGTGACTTTTTTATTATTTTAAATTTTAAAGATAATTTAGTCATTTATCTTAAAAAATTAATTTCATATAAGGACAATGGACTCTAATGAAAATTCAAAATTTAATGACCTTTGAATGCTATAAATTTCCAACAGTTGTCCTTGATATTTTCCGTCTTATGTATAGTTGAATTGTTGAGTATTTTTTATTAGGGTCTATGTTCATTTTTCTAGATCAGATTTCAGATCCATCGTATTGAACTTACTCTTCAACCCATAGGTAATCAAATCATTTAATAAAGCTTTCCTCAAACTTTTAACCCAGCCACATTGCACATCGTTATATTTAATTTCTTCAGAAGTTCTTTTAAAATTATCAATAGATAAGAAATTTTATAAAATCAAAGAAATAGTTTTTTATTTCTTTTTCAAACATGTCTTTATCCATAATTACAACCATCTCTTACTTAGAAAAAAGTTGTGACAATTTTTAAGCACTTTTAATTTCTTTATCCATATCATTTGGTTTATGGGATTTTATATAAGACTAGAGGCAATACCTGAAATTCAAATTTAGTGAGTAAGATAAACTTTACTCAAAAGAAGAAAGTAATAAAAGTGGCACACAGAGCTTAATGAATATTATACTATATATAAAGAATGTGCAGAGATCCTAATGAATGTGGGTTAGCTACGTATACAAAAAATACCCTACAATTGACTATAAATATAAATAATATATAGACAAATATACTAGACTCAAAGATCTATAGTCAGTTATTGGGCTTCTATATACTGATTGGGCTTGTGTAAGTTGGGCTTCTTCTCTATTATATTGACATCCCCCCTCAAATGAGAGGTTAGACTTTTAACTAGACCAAGCTTATTTCTTAGATCTAGAAAATGAGAATGAGACAGGGCTTTTGTGAAAACGTTGGCCACTTGATCTGAGGAAGGTACAAAACAAACAAGCATCTAGCGCACAAGAACTCGCTCGCGAATAAAATAGACAATTCTATATGCTTAGTTCAAGCATGAAAGACTGGATTTGAAGCTAAGGCAAAAACACTGAGGTT